TCGTCTCATACCGTGCTGCATATGGTCATAGGTATGAGAGTAAACAGCAGCACACGCTGCAATAAAATGACAACACTGGTTGCCGACAGCCCAAGCGCCGTAACGTGTGAGCAGGGAGCCACCAGGCACCAAAACGACGCGCACATTTTTGTGTAACCTTCTTTGGGAAAAACACATTTTATAAGCCGTATATTATGCTCGCACAGTGTTGACTTGACACACCTTTTAATAATTGTTCAGACTGAAATTATTATTACAAGCTGGGAGACCAATCGGTGTACACACTCAGGGGCCTAGCCCAGCCTTTTTTTCCAGAGAGGGACAAGGTTCCAAAAATCTCTAATACCGGCAATGAACTGCGGAGGGGTGATATGTTAATGGAAACCTCTGACCATCAGTTTGGGGTTTGTCAAGAAATGCATTTTCCCCAACTTACATCGCCTTTCTTTCTTTTTCCTTTTCCCAATTTTCCTTTCTGTTATTTTATTTATTTATTTATTTTTTGGGAGGGGGGTCTAAGGGTGGAAGTCCCCTATACTTTACTGGCCTCCCATCAACGCGAATCATTAATACATGTACCTGTGAAAAGTGCACATTTTTATATCTGTGGCTAGTGATTGCAATAGTGATCACATGTCATGTGCATTGTCTCCCAACTCGATCATAGTTTAATTAACTATAATCTGTAACCACTAAGCAATATCTTAAAAAATGAACAAAGAGGAAACCCCCTCCTTCCACACAACAGCATCGAGTCTTCGACATAAATTTCTGTGACATTTTCTTACTAAAAGAATTGTTCATCCGGTTCATCGACGGATTTTCTTCGAAGAAAAACTTTTGATCGCTTGAAAGCTTATTACTCTGAAGAATATCAAATCATGGACTCTTCAGACGAAAAGTCTGTTAAAGTTTTGAGGGCCCTTTTAGGTGTACATGTACATGGCGAGATAATTTCAATCTTAGGCATAACAATGATCTGCAGGAAGTAAAAATGATTACATTATTTTTAGAATGGAGACCATTAAGATATGTAAAAATAGGCCAGACTGTGACCTCAGTGGAGGTTGTGCTAAATGTTTAGTTGAGTTTCTGGAGAATGCCCGAAAGCTACGCATTTTGAATGAGTTCTCGCACCAGTACGTCAAAGTCACCCCTCGAAAACTGACCCTCTTTGCACTTTATGACTGTCTGCACCGCCTGAAGTTTGACTGGCAAGGGGCAGTCCTTCAGTTTAATCGGCACTATATACTCCCCATGACCGCCTCTGTTTGCGATGTCCTCCATTAGTCCTTGGCTGATGGCGTACGACTCCCACCCGTCGCTTTCTGGGTCCGCACCGTCGAGAGGGTGGGGGTGGGGCGTGAGGATGATTACAAACCTGTGGCTGTTCCTCAAACAGTGGAGGAACTGGTCGAACACATCCACTCCGCCTTTGCTATCTCGTGATTGCGTACAACCCCGGAGCCCGTACTCAGCGGACTCCAACTTGTCTACGAACGCCTCGGCCCATTGACTGTCTCTTTCTGCGTACCACACGAAGAAATCGTAGTGGTACTTCTGGATTCCCCTGTGCATCTGTTCAGACGGGTGTGGAGACCCTGAAATCGTAACGAAGTGGTGAGCCAGGAGAATCCTGACGTAGTCTGGTTTCACTTCGGTGCTGTAGTGGTCGAAGTCATCGTTGAAGTAATCCGAATGGCCGTCTACGAGAGCCGTGTTTAAGATCTCCCTCCGAACCTGCTCAGCTTTCTCTAGTTGTAGCCGACTTCCTTCTGACTGGTCTGTCAACTCCAGACACTCGGCCCATCGCTGGTGAGTCTGCACAGGGTCAAAGAAATGATCATGTTCACCTCGGATCGCTTGAGAATACTTTTGTATGGCCTTGTTGATGCTCCCAAGCAGAAAAAAAGCGTATCCTAGACCGGCGTAATCTGCGGAGTATGTCCTCAATTTGAGAGCAAAATTGAAACTTGCCGTGGCCTCCTGAAGCCATCCTCTCGCCTCTTCTGTTTGTTTGACGTCCGTGTCCGCTTTTTCGTACATGGCCAAGAACATGTAGGCTCGATAGCGATAAACAACATGGGACTGACTTTTCCGGAGTGATTTCTCTAACAACAATCTGCCTTGCTCAAAACGTCCGATCTTGACATATTCATAACCAACCCTACGGGTAATCATAATATGCTCTGGATGCATCTTCAGGCACTTTTCAAAGCACCGCACTGCTGTGAGATCATGAAGGTCCAGATTATCGGGGAATGCCTCGGCGATGCTTCTATGTTCTGAGTCGTGGTTGACAAGTATTCCCAAAAACAACCAAGATAAAGCTTCGTAATCCCTGGAAGTGGTGGTGCGTGCAACCTCTAAGAAAACACGGCAGGCTTCCTTGAAGCCCTGCAAGATCCTATCATCGGAGTACCAGTCGGAATGCTCCGGCACGAAGGAAGTTTGGCTCGCAAGTTCCCTAAGATACAACATCTGATAGTCTCTCTTGTATAAAGCCAGCGCATAGTCGAAGAGCCATTCTGCTCGTTTGGAGCTGTCACAATTCCTCCCGATTACCACAGCCTTCTTGATGAACCTCATGTACTGAAAGTTCAGCTTGTGCTCGAGATAACGGATAGCATGGGCCTTATCCGCATAGGCCATGGCTCTCTCGCCCGTGCATGTTTTCGTCAAAATCTGGGTGAGCCTGTCGTGGTACTTTCTGTAGTCCTCCATTTCAAACAACTGTTTGTGGATGAAGGCCAGATTTCCCAGGGCATTAATGTTGTTCTCGTCCTTGTCCAAAACATCGAGGAAGAACCCCAGGGCGTCTTCATATTTGTCAAGGTGATAGGCTATGAAGCCCTGCATGTTGCGGACGGCCGTGTAGTAGGTCGGGCGGTCGTTGAAGTCCCATGCCTCCTTGGCAAGGATGCCCTCCTCTCGCCGAAGGGTCTCCTTGTCTGCCACATAGGGTTGAAGCTCGGGCCAGCTGAGGTGGCAGCCCAAGGATTCTATGATTCGGCTCTTGTCAGCCATGACATTCTGTGCGGGAAGTATGTACAGCAAAACGTCAGTGCTACTGGGAAAACAAGAATAAATCACACAAGTCGTACAGTAGTGACAATTTCACATGATCGAGGTGGACCAATATGTTAAAAGAAATCGTACACAGTGTATGCCTCCGAAGGCTTGTGAAAAAAAAAACAAAAAAACAAAAACAAAACAAAAACCACCCGAGTACGCGTGTGGTTTTTTCACAAGCTTTCGGGGCATACACTGAGTATACAGTGTTAACTTACACGTCAGACAGGGCAAAAATCCAAAATAAGCCGACGTGTTGATTCCCAATGCAGCATGTGTTTGTCCCATGTGAAGCGCATTCAGCTATGTCGCGGGGCTTTCCTAACGACAATTCAACACCGGTCATAACAATAACCAATGATGGCACGTACGTACGTACGTATATGGATGTCGTTAGAAAGAACATTGGACTTGAACATGGAGATTATCCCGCTTGCCTCTGGGCTTCTAGATAGTTCTGTTTACGTGACTAGGAGGAAACGAAGCACCACGGGTCTGTTCAGATTTGCCTAATGGCATTACGAAATTAATGTATGATCGACGTTGTCACTGAGCCAATTTGGGATCAAAGATCTCACAAACTATCTGATAACGGTTCGCGCGTAGACAGGTGTACTTCAGACCTGGCGTGCCTGGTAAGGAATTATCTGCTGGGACGACTGGTTGAGTGGCGAGGGGTCAATATGAACAACCTCGGCCTCGCACTAATGTCTAGCTTGGAACACCCATGTTTTGTTTGAGAACAGTACTGCTAAAGTGACAACAGCGTGCACTTACACGTGCGGGGAGCCAGGGCACCTTTGACCCGGAACCCCTGATCCTGGGGGTGATCCGTATCTAATTTTCCGGGAATCCTTTGCAGCAAACATCGCATTTTTTCCTTGTCAACAGTTACATGTAACTTATTTGCAATCAATGATAATCGTTTAGAGTTAAATCGAATGAAAACTTCTCAGGTTATTAACCTTTCATGGAGAATTTGTTCCAAGAAGACGCTGTTTTTTTTTTAGAGTGAAAAAACGACACCAAGAGGCAAGATCGGGCGTGAACAATTGACCAGTAGTCAGTTGCTTTTTAACAATGCGCATGCGCAATTCGGTTACACTCGAACTACCCTGATCGGTCAATTTTTAAAATCTCATCGTTACTCACATTTCACCAATGGCTGTGATTCTCATAGCATACATGGTCGTTGAAATCTGGTAGTTATTTTCATGTGAATGGTTCCCCCTGTACGGATAAATGAAATCGGCTATCACAACATACCCCAGGGCCTGGTCCCAAATGGTCGACTAGATAGTTCAAACCATCCATCGTTCGGGCGGTATTAATCGAACTATAGTTAACTATAGTCATCGCTCGAACTTGCCTAAGACTAGTGTTGAGAGAGGGCGTTACGGAGAAGCCTATGAATCCGCCACGGTATATTTATGTTTTGAACGGCTATACTTCATATTTATTGTAAATCCGACACGGTAGGCTTAATTTTGACGTCACTTGAATAAAATACTCCAAACAAGTGTATACTACGTTATGACAAAAGTACCTCCAGCACAGAAACTGTGAGTTTTGACACTGAGTGAAAGAGCAGCCGCAATATTGTCTCTTGTTTCTGACGGATACCAGAACAAATTTGATTTTTAAAACAAAACTGATTGTAGGTGTTGCTCTTGTACGAACAAGCTGTTGTTTGATTATGACCATTTTTGGTATACATGCATATTCATGACATTACACGACATTCTGCAATGCGGAATGTATATCCTCTGGTGGTGTACTGGGGCTTAAGTCCGGGGGGTATCAAGGGGCTTCATACATTTTTTCAAGGAGGCACCACGAGAAATTCAGCTGCAGCTGCATAGCTATATAAACTCAACGGAGAGTTTCAATTGCGGGGGGGAACCGGGGAGTGGGTATCCACGGGGGGGGGGGCATGTGCCCGCCGTAGTTACGTCACTGATCCTCACACCAATCTTACATAACATCTTTCTATAATTTAGGTCTACTTAATTTTGATGTTGAAAAAGAAATGACTGCTGTGGGAAGTTTTTTTAATCAATATTCAAGAAATACCTTGATATCTATTTAAACACACCATCACCCATTTTCGGAAATATAGAACTTTAAAAAGTAATTACGGCCAAAGTAGCCCTGACTTTGTCAGTAGAAGAAAACCGATTCACTGACGAGAAACCAAGAAGAAAGATTCAGCCTTGTGAAGCGACAGCACTGTTTGTTGAAATTACCCTCAACGAGAATAAATTAAAATGGACCTGCATGGTCTGCAAAGGATTATCCTTTTCCATGTGAAATTGAAAATATATGATCTACATAAACTTCACGACTACAACGTCAATGTAACTGATTGAGACTTCTAACTTTGCAGAAATAACTGGTCAGACCCCTCTGTGTTATGTTGGACGAGAGCCAACATTTTAAGTCAAAAGAACACAAAAGCGACGTAACATTTTCATGTCCCATCTCTTTGTGAAAACTAGTGACGAATTCCAACAAAAAACACTTGTAGGGCCGAGACTGATTCAGCCACAAAAGTCAGACACCCGGTCGAGGGGAATTTGTGCTGTTTCAACGAGTAGCCGCATGCTTTCCGTATGTTTGTGCAACTTTAAATTCTGTCTTTGATCTGTGTAAACAATCAATTTGACACTTTTTCGAGAGGGGTTGGGGATGTTTAAATGAAAAGTGAATAAAAGACTTTTACATTGCTCATGCTTTTCCGGACCGTAGATTGAAGCCGCAGGCGATGTTGTTGTCCAACAAAGATGAGTCCTATAGTTTACAGATTTTCTGTTCAAATTGCAACTCCCCCAAAGCTGCTAATTGAAAACACTTCCACGAATAGGCTTCTTTCGTCGGCTTACTGCCATGTACTCAGACAACAATGAATCTCCACTGAACAGGAAATTTTGAGTAGCAAAGTATCAAACACTCGAACAGCTTCTTTATGCACAGATCAATGCAACATTGCGGTATTCTCCCAGCTTGACGTCACAGTTATGCTCGTGAATAAGCAAATTCACATCAGCATAATAAACAGCCAAAATTTGAAGTCAGATTATTGAAACACCAAGGTACAGTTCCCCAGACTGTAGTAAAAATTACATTGCAAAGACCCTTGAAATATAAATGGCTATCAGGCCTGTTTGTTTCACACGGATCTGGATCGCGACCGGTTATCTTAGAGCTGGTTCAAGCTGTCCACTAAGCGGGTTCTGGTGTCGGTGAACCAACGACAAATCTAATCGCGACCCGGATCCACGTGAAACAACAGGCCAATGGGAACCAGATTAACGACCTCACTAGTCCTGCCTGTCGGATTCCCCGTGCACATATCTTCTATGAAATAGACAGGGAGACTCTCTCAGGTGCCACAATCTATAAGTTCAATTGTTAAGCGCGATGGAAACTCCCCTCCAATTTTGCAGGTCAGATGGCGATATAGTTCCACGTCCAACCTTGCAAAAACCGGGGTGTTAAATTTAACACCCCTGGTGTTATCAGAGGACTACACCACCACTTTTTACTGATGTAAAAATTTCGGTATGATTTGGTGTCACTTTTAACACCCTCCAGTGCACTGTAATACTTATAGCTGAGCAAAGTAACCCCAGCGAAATTAAAGTAACACCCTATGGTGTGGTCATCTAATAACACCAAAAAGTGTCGATTTTAACACAGGAGTTTTTTTTGCAGTGAACGCAGACAAAAGAAAACATGACCATTATACACGAACAGGCTCGAAACAGAATTCATTAATATTTTTAGGAGAGAAACAAGCAGATTGGCGCCCACAAACAATTGGCTAACATTGTTTTACAATACATTATTCTCTTAGTTTCTTGTAGGACACAAAACTGTGTTTGCGTGGAGTGATTATTCGTGAACTTTTCTGTCAAGACGGTGCTTTGTGTACTTTTATTGATGATGAAAGTTGACAAATCGAGGTCCGTACGCTGTTTGTATTATGCCGCAAACTTACAGAAACTCATTCTCAATGTTTATGTGCTGTGATTTTGGGAGAGGCAATTTTTAACAGAAAAGCTCTCATGATAGAACTGTGACAGATAAAATACTTCTTAATTAAGGTTGAGTGACTAATTTGAATACGGCATGAGGGGACACGAATGAACTTTAAGCGCATGCTATCTATAACACTGTGTCTATTTTATTGACCACACGATAACAGAAACTGTTTGGAGAATGATTTTAAAATTACATGTTCATGTTTTGACAAGCTTCAAGGGAAATGTCATTTGTACCAGCAACATGCCATTAACGTACAATGTGTCTAACATCTAAGTTGTCACTGGAACTATATCCATACAAATTAAAAGACAAATTGATTGCCGGGGATTCTAAAACTCAACGTGCAAAATCGAAAATCTTGAATGATAATTGAGATTTAATACAAAGTTATTCTAACTCTCTCTCTGTCAAAACAATGATATCAGTGAGTCATTTATACGTTTGCAATAAATTTCCCCCTTTTATGTAAACCTACACCTCTCTTTCCGCCTCGAGCAGAAGCACCCGCTTATCGGTTGAAAAGAAGTCTTGTTGTTATGCGACTGCGTGCATTCGTCACAGTCGCATTTCTATTGGGTTTGTGAACTCACTACAGCTGGTACCTAAGGAGCCGCCGTTGCTAAGAAAATAGCGCCCTCTTTGGTCAAGCTCGGGGCCCATAGCGACAGGATTAGTAAACTTGAGGAAGGATTTCAAATTAGCAGTCTCCAGACATGCAATTCTTGAGTAAGAGTTCGATGCAAATCACGTGCCGCAGCCATGAAATTTAAAGACAAAAGTGTGGACTTTAGCTCGAACTTTTACCTTTCCCAGGATACGCCCCTGTCGTGTTGACAGCTTGATAAAAATCTGCCAAGTACGACGAGATGATCATTCCGCTGATTACGATACTATGATCGCATGTGGGGACGGAGCATGTTAACTGGTTTCCGCGCATGCCATATGCACTTTCTTTGGGACGGTAGCCAAATTTGTAAAAGGAGGGCGCTATTGCTACTTTACAGCTTCGTTCGTACACCCAGGGCACTGCTGACTACTGATATCTTGAGGCGTTTGTTGGACAGATTCTGTTAAACACAAAGTGCTTTTAGTATGTCAATAAACAAGCACATTGCCTTGCGTTTCTTTCATTTTTTTGGTAATGGAGAAGATTAATTTTTTTAACAATCTTGTTCAACATGCTTGGATAGGCAACGGAACTAGCAAACCTTGACTTATTGAATGACACACTGCAGTCCCTTGCCAGAGATTGAGAGCGACTATTTCTCCAAATTAAGG